CTCTCTCTCTCTCTCTCTCTCTCTCTCTCTCTCTCTCTCTCTCTCTCTCTCTCTCTCTCTCTCTCTCTCTCTCTCTCTCCCTGTCTATTTCTCCGTGTTATGCTTGCCCACCTGCCCAAACTGCGCCTTGACCTCGCGAGGGAGGTAGTGGACCTCGTCGTGATCCGACCACTCGTCCGACTCGTTTCCATCCGCTCCGTCCCCCTCCGCCGCCGTCGCCGCCGCCGCATTGTTGTCCTTCACCGCCGCGGCTGTACCCGCTTTGTTGCCCTCGTCCGTCTTCGGCATCGCAACCGAGTGCCTCCCTGGTACCGGCCCTGACTCCCACCCTCCCACTGTCCGCGGCGAAGAGCTCGGCGACGCTCTGGCGACGATGGCTGCTACCTCGGGGTCGACTTGTTCTTCCTTGGCGGACAAGGGAGGAGGAGGTTCTAAGGGCTTCTTTCTGGGCCTGCCGCGGCCCTTCTTGGCCGGGGTTGCTGCGGGCAGGGCAGCAGCAGCAGCAGTATCGGGTTCACTCCCGCTGCCAACGTCCGACCTCTGCTGCGCCTGGGCAGTAGCGTGTGCATCATCATCATCGTTGGAAGGTGCGCTGCGCACTCCCGCACCCTCCGCTGCTACCTGGTCTCCTTCGAAGCTTGCTCTACCGCTCCTGCCGGGAAGCCGTCGCGACGGCGCCGCGCCCTTCTCCTTGGCCATGGTAGGCTTGGGTGTGCGAAAGAGAGAGAGGGCTTGAATTAACGTGTCCTTGCTACCCCAGGCGTTGTTACCGCACGACCAACTAACTGCACGGAAGGGTTTTCGAGACGAAAAGCAAGTAGTGGGGGGTCGCCACTTGACGGTATGAAAGGGTACCACGTACGGGGGGGCTCCGTAGATCGACACTACCACAGCCAGACAGAGAGACCGCACAAGGCGACGGGCGCGTCACACAGAGGACTACACAAGGGTTACCGAGGCCCTGAGCAAGCACCATGGCGGACACACCGGTGGTGGTTGAGTACTCAATGACGGAGGTCGCGACTCACACGACGAAGGAGAGCACATGGTTGGTCATCAAGGACATGAACGACGGCGGTACGTTTGTACGCGTGTTTCTCGCACTACATGTATTCTTCGCTAGCGACTTTGTCGGTCGAACATATCCTTCATTTACCAGCAGCAGTTATCTCTCGTATGGCAGCCTCCAGAGAGCCGAATGTAGCTGATAGCGATGGAGGGTTTCGTGGGTCACATACCAAACGAACCAATTGTATCAAAGCTGAGAACCCATGCGATGGGGTGGGGCGAGGTACGAGCCATTTTGTATTTTGAAGTGACGATACGCCCAGCGGGTCTACCAGCTGTAAGATTCTGGTTCAGCCTGGCCTGCTGAGCTTGATTTCTCCCAGCTGGTGCTGGTGTGTGTGTTTTCCTCCTATTGTGTACATGGCGCCAACATATAGGGTCTTCTGCTATGAAGACACGCACGCACACACGACGACTCCTCACTAGCTACACCCAAGCTCGTGACACCTCCAATGACGGTCTTGGTGTCATGGATGATGGGTGTTGACGTGACGAAGAACACAAATCATGACCGCATCACCATTGAGGCGGGGGGGGGGGGGGG